ATATATATATATATATATATATATATATATATATATATATATATATATATATATATATATATATATATATATATATATATATATATATTTATAGATTTAAGTCATTTGTTCTTTAATCTTTGATGCATCGCCAAGTACGGTAGAATACCACGTACCGATTGTACCGTACCGAAAATAACGGTATACCGAACATTGGTATACCGAACTTTTTGGTATGGTAACGGTATGAAATTTTTCAATACCGCAATGTACGGTAGGTACACGGTATTGAGCTAAATGTTTGGCAACCGTACCGAATCCACCCCTACTATTTAGCATGACAAGGCTCTTATGATTTTTTTGTATATATAGAGGCATTTCTATTGTGAAATATACAGCCTTTGATTAAGCAATATTCTCTTATTCGTGTAATCAATTTTTATACAGAGAGTTGCTTTTGTTCAGCAAAGTGGTTATATTTAATTATATATATTCTAGAGTTATTGGGTTATATTCTATAACATATAATTGTTTTTGAAAAAAATGGAAAATAAAAAGGGTGCTGACCAAGTGCCGCAAGCCCATCTCTTTTAGTGGATATAAACCACACAACAAATAAAGCCCATGGACTGACCCATTTACAAAACGAATTTTGGCTAATGGGTCAAAATGCAATTCCTTCAAATTCTTCTCATAATTTTCTCAAAAAATTGTGGAAAAAAAAATAGATAAATATTGATGAATATTCATTGTAAAAAAAAGTTGAAGGCTGTTTCGAAATTTGTGCGCAATTGGGTATTTTTTGGGAATTTTCTTAATCCAATTATGAAATCTAATTTCACATAAATTTAGATTTTTTTTGAAGTAACATATTGTAGAATTAACATTACTATTTTTATAATGTAATAATTGTAGCAGCTCTAAAAGAACAAAACTGCAAACATTACTATATTTTTTATGTAAGAATAATAGTAAAATAATAATAATAATAATAATAATAATAATAATAATAATAATAATAATAATAATAATAATAATAATAATAATAATAATAATAATAATCTTATATATAAAAGAAAGAAACGCTGGGCAACCCTAAAACCCCAATGGTGTTTCTGTAATTATTTATTTTTAATATATTTTTCTACTAATTTTTTTACTATAATTTTCAACGATTATCAATCTTCTATTTTTCATCAATATATTAACTAAAGCTATATATAATATGAATAATATTACATTATTAAATTTTTGTATGTACTATATTTTCTCATTATGTATTAAATTGATTATTTTTTTTTACTTTTCAAATAATATCTCGTGCATGGCACATTGAAAAAAATGCTAGTAAATAATAAAGAAATAACACTAATATTGGTAGCAGTAAGGTGCTCCACGCCACGTGGGGCCAATGAATCATGAGATTGTTTTTAAAGTAAATGTGATTAATTTGCTTTTATGTTCCAATTTATAATATTAAAAATAAAAATAATTATAAAATATTTGAACATTGTCTATTATCATATCTTCTGTGGTCTGCCCAAAGTTTTATGTGTGTGTTGGGTAATGTAGCTTTTGTCGGCTAATAATCGGCGCATTCTTCTTTATTCCAAAGTTATATTGCTGCCATGCTTTGCCTTTTTCTAATCTATTTATTAATAATCAAATTATTGAATATTTATATTGTAATTATTTTAGTGTGTATTACACTAATTTAGCATCATTTAGATTTAATAGTAAAAAAAAAAACCTTTTCCATTAAATTTATTTAATTAAAATAAGTCCAATGCCTATTAAGATTGCAACACAATGAGGAAAATTGAACTACAATTCTCCTCCTATTGATTCTCAATTCAACTAGTTTTACCCATTGAGCTTGCACTTACAAATTTATTAAATGAACTGATTTCATTCAATTATTTATCGACCAACTAATCGATTCAACCGATTACAAAACTAATTCGATTGAGACAAGTGAGTAAATTAATTTAATATTTAATCATATGTTTTCGATTACTTGAGTGGTGATCTTAAAATTAATTGAATCAATTGATTAAACTGAGATGGGAGCACTAGACGAGTCAGTGATTGAGTTCTCGTGCGCGGGAAGGTAAGGCAATGTTTGGCTTGGTTTCCATTTCGATTTTTTTTTTATAGAAAATGAATTCGTATTTGTTTAACTTTCGAAAAATAATTCCGACAACAATTTCAAAAGTGTTTATCTCCTCCATATATGATTTGACTGCTACAGTAAAAAGATTTGATCAGTAAAAAATATCTTCACTTTATTTTTCTAATTCTTTTTATAAAATACATTTTTCCAACATATTTATCAAAATAAAATAAAAATAACTTCCAAAACAATTCTAAATAACTTTTATTTAATAAATTTGTCAAAAATTCACCAAAATATACAACAAAATGTAAAAAAATGAGATGTAGACTGATTTAATCACATGAAGTACTCTACGGTCAACGTCAAAAATCCTAGGAACACAATAAAGAGAGAGAGAGAGAGAGAGAGAGAGAGAGAGAGAGAGAGAGAGAGAGAGAGAGAGAGAGAGACTTTTTGAATTTATCGCTAACATCGCTGTCCGTGACGCAACATTTCCCTATTTTCACGCACACCACTGTCCTGTCCCTCCTCACCCCTCATTATCCTATTATTCTCGTTTTATAATTTACAAGAAAATATTGGAAACTGTAAATTTACAATTTCATTTTTTTTTTTTGACATTTCATAATGTTAGGGCATTCCATTGGGTAATAAGATGGGTCTTTAAATATCATTTTAGAGATTCAGATTCTAAAAAAAAAAGTCATCTAAAATGAATTAATTTTATGTATTTATTTATAAATTATTTCTTGTTATAAATAAATTATAGCTTAGTTTTGTACATTAAATTTTCGATAGTTATTTTTTATTTGCATTATTTTAATTTTTTAATATATATTTCACTTAGAAAAAAAATTGACTTTTATGTTTTTGTATTTTCAACAACAAAAATAAAAATTTCAACCACAAAAGTAAAAAAAAATTATTTATTTTATACCTAAATTTCATGGTCCAGTAATCATATCTTGGCAATCAAACGAGGGTATTCTAATTAGGGTCGTTCATTCGATAAAACCATACCGGAGTTTCGGAAAACCGAAAATTTGGTACATCAAAATTTTGTACCGGTAACTTAACTAAACTATTCGGTTCGATAGGGTTAATTCTAGTTTTTCGATTTGGTACTGGTAAAACTGAAAATATATTTTCTTAATTTTAAAAAAATGTAAAAAGGATATTTTAATTAATTTTTGAATTTGACAAATAATCGACCTTAAAAACAAAAAGTTCATCAATAGAGGCTAATTTTTAAATAATGAAAAAAATTATCAATGTACAAGTATTTTATAATTTGTTATAATCTTAAAAGGATTTAAAATAAAAATAAATAAATAAATAAATACATATTAAATATTTTGGTATTCGATATGGCACAATATACTGCTCATCAATACCGTATATCGTATGGAACACCACAATTAAAAAAAAAAAATACCGAAAACCGTATTTTCAGCTCAGTGGTTCGGTAGGTTTACTGACCAGGTAAACACTCCTAATTCTAACATAGTAACGATAGAGAATACTCATTTTTATCTTTTTTACTTTTGTTCGCAATCTTGTTTATGATTTTTCTCCTTGTTCACGTCTTCACTCTGCATTCGACTCGATCAATGCTCGTTCGACCTCGAAATATCTTCACTCCAACTAAAGTTTGGTTCGAACTCGACTCATGCCCGCCTAATTAAAGCTCGACAATTATTTGTCACACCAATATGAAACGCCAATTTGAACATGAACTCATTTACACACTTTTATATACGTAGCATAGCATGTACCATAAGAAAACAAAGTTCGGACAGTGTAAATTTGGAACCACGCCGGAGAATCACCATCATTACATCACTTGTCATCATTTTCTCAAATAAAAAATTACTACTACACAGCTGATAACTCCACCCCACCACACCACCACCAAAACTTTCATCAAATTTGATTATTTATGTGCCTGCATTTTCAAACCTTCACTCAGAAAACAGACCCCTCTCTCTCTCTCCTCTCTCTTTCTCTCTCCTCACACACACACACACACACAAACACATAGGGATTCGTAAAGCAAAGCAGCTGTACGAACAGCCAAGATCAAATCTTGACCACAAAAAGTCACACATTCTCTCTTGCATGCTCACTGTTCACTCCTCACTCTCACACTTCTCTCTCTCTCTCTAGACTCTACAACCCCTTAAACCAAAAACCCCACGCAAGAACACAAACACACGAAACCCCAAAAAGAGAAACCCATAATGGAGGAAAGGCCGGAGACGGAGCTGATATCGATACCGGCGACGCCACGCGCCTCCACGCCGGAGATACTGACACCGTCGGGGCAGAGGTCGCCGCGTGCGATGGCAAGGGAGGCGGCGCTCGGCACCGGCACCGCCAAGTCGTGGACGCCGACGTCGTTCATCTCGCCGAGGTTCCTGAGCCCCATCGGGACCCCGATGAAGAGGGTGCTCGTCAATATGAAGGGCTACCTGGAGGAGGTGGGCCACCTGACCAAGCTCAACCCACAGGACGCGTGGCTCCCAATCACCGAATCGCGTAACGGCAACGCGCACTACGCCGCGTTCCACAATCTCAACGCCGGCGTTGGCTTTCAGGCGCTCCTCCTCCCCGTTGCCTTCTCCTTCCTCGGATGGTATATATTTGATACTTTTTCTCACTCCATTAAATATCTCTTAATTTGGATTAATTCAGACGAAATTAATTAAGGCAGAAAAACTCTGATTAATCGATACATAAATAAAATCAATAAAATCAATTGGATTTGTAACATAGCCTTCATCAAATGGATTCTTGTAGAAGAGCCTCTATTCGATGATTTTCGGAAACTATAGCATCTCGATTTTTTTTCGAGTAAAGCTAAACCTCTATAAATTAATTAGTCGGGACTAGGGAAATTTATTAATTTAGCGAATTATTAAATCACCGAGTTAATAATTTAACACGTTTTCACCGATTCGATTCGGGACCGAGAGAAACTATTATTTAATCTAGGTTATTAATTTATCGAGTACTTACATTGTTTTTTCTTGTTCGTTGTGTTTGCCTTTGGAGAATCTTGAAAATTAATTTCTGAATTATATATATAATCGTGGGCCGATCGATTCGGCAGATTACATTTTGTCCCGATTACAGTTACATTTGTGTCCACTAATTTAATTATGTTATATAGACGTAAGTTTCGACCTGTCTTTGTGATTCTATTTATGCTCTCGATTTAACGAAATGTTCGTCACGTTATTTGTATGTTCTTATAGGAGTTGGGGAATAATAGCATTAACCATAGCCTACTTCTGGCAACTATACACATTGCGTATACTCGTTCAGCTTCACGAAGCAGTTCCCGGAAAGAGATACAATAGATACGTCGAACTTGCTCAAGCTGCATTCGGTGCGTACTTCTATATATCGTAAATATTTAACTAATCGAGTTTATTGCAATTAGTACCCCTCTTGTTATTCGAATGCTAAAAAACTACCGCATGTTGTTTTATTGTCAAACATCCCCATTCAGGGGGGTGTGTGCAAAAAAAAAAAAAATTTGAATCGTAGGGGGTTTTCGTCAATAAAATAATATGAGGTGGTTTTTAAGCAATTCGATATAACGCAGGGTACTAATTATTGGAGATATTAATATTAAATGATACATTTCACTAATAGCTTAAGCTTTTGGTTGAGATGGTCATTCAATACTAATTGCAATAAATCCTTGAATATTTACTCTTTCTTGAAAAAAAACATTGTACGTCACGAAGTTTTTATGTACCTGTTTTTTTTTTCTACTAGGGGAGAGACTAGGTGTATGGCTTGCGCTATTCCCGACGGTGTACCTATCGGCCGGTACGGCCACTGCATTAATTCTTGTCGGAGGGGAGACGATGAAACTGTTCTTCCAAATCGTGTGCGGCCCACATTGCTCCTCTAATCCGCTGACAAGTGTCGAGTGGTACCTCGTTTTCACTTCCCTATGCATTGTGTTGTCACAACTGCCCAATCTCAACTCCATAGCTGGACTCTCGCTCGTGGGCGCGGTGACAGCGATCACCTACTCCACTATGGTGTGGGTCCTCTCTGTGAGCCAGCAAAGGCCGCCCACGCTCTCGTACGAGCCTATTTCGATGCCTACTTCAACGGCTTCGGTTTTTACCGTGTTGAATGCACTTGGAATTGTCGCGTTTGCGTTTCGAGGCCATAATTTAGTTCTTGAAATTCAGGTTTGCGTACGTTCACAAAGTAGGTTTTTTTTAATATTTTTTCATATGGTCGAATTGTGATTTTTTTTTTTTGGTTTTTAGGCGACGATGCCGTCGACTTTCAAGAAACCGGCACACGTGCCGATGTGGAGGGGAGCGAAGGTCGCTTATGTCTTTATTGCGATGTGCGTTTTCCCCGTTGCAATTGGCGGTTATTGGGCTTATGGAAATCTTGTAAGTATCGGTTTTTTTTTTTTTTTTTACCTTTCCTTTTAGAAGGCCACCATATAAAGATAAAGTTGGTATAATGAAGTGTTATTTCTATTTGTGTGTGACATGAGGGTGTAACTATTATTGTTATATATGAAGCTATTATTAGTTTGAGTTTATTGCAATTGGTACCCGGTTTAAGGGGTTTTAGGCTAAAAAAATTGAATCGTAGGGGGTTTTTGCCAATAAAATAACATGGGGTGGTGTTTTAGTAATTCGATAGATATAACACAGGTGCACTAATTGCATTGAACCCTTATTAATTTTGTTATTTAAATTTTGGGTTTATTGCTTTCAACACCGCTATATTATACCGTATTGCTAAAAAGCTCCTCGTGTTATAAATATAAGCAAAAAACCCTATAAATGGTGCACTTTTGGAGGTTATTTGGTAATAAAATTGAATCATTGCCGGGAATTTTGGTAATTTTTGTGAACTTAGAGTAAACACAAGAGTGCTAAATGCAATAAACCCTTTAAATTTCCGTAATTTAATACCATTTCGCAAGCAAAAATGATCCCTTAAAACCCTTCAAAATTTCGATTTACTTGTCCTAGAAACATATTATTTACCATTTTGTCCTTACTATATATATATATATATCAACAGATGCCATCCGGAGGAATCCTCAACGCCTTATTCGGGTTCCACAGTCGCGACATTCCAAGAGGACTACTCGCGGTGACGTTCCTCCTCGTCGTATTCAACTGCCTGAGCAGCTTCCAAATCTACTCGATGCCCGTTTTCGACAGCTTCGAAGCGGGCTATACGGGTCGGACCAACCGACCGTGCCCGATTTGGGTCCGGTCCGGGTTCAGGGTGTTCTACGGGTTCATCTCGTTGTTCATAGGCGTGGCGCTCCCGTTCTTGTCCAGCCTGGCGGGGTTGTTGGGCGGGCTGACCCTACCCGTGACGTTCGCGTACCCGTGTTTCATGTGGGCCCTCATTAAAAAGCCCGTCAAGTACAGCTTCGACTGGTATCTTAGCTGGGTGCTCGGCTGGTTGGGTATTGCGTTTAGCTTGGCTTTCTCGATTGGAGGGATTTGGAGCATGGTGAATAGTGGACTCAAGCTCAAATTCTTTAAGCCGCCTAGCTAAGAACTGGAAATTGTGATTTTATTTTATTGTCAATTGAAGATTGTTTAATATAATGTACTACTTTGATTTGTTTTGTTGTATGGTTTTGATGCAAGGAAATATTAGCTTTTTTAAAATTTATTTTTTTATTTATTTTTATTTTTATTTTTGGAAGACTTTTATGAAACTATTGTGTGTAAATTTATAATTATATAGTCAATCTTGATGATGCCCTTTTTCCTTATTTTTTCTTGAAAACATATATTTGGCCTATTTTGGAGCAATGAATATGAAATTTCTTGCTATTATCTACCCCTTTGTGGTTAGCAATCTCCAATTGAAGGAGAGAAGAAGGATCTAATACATAAATTTGAACTAAACTTGGGTACGATGCGGTTTATACTATGTTACACCAGGTAAAACACGATTTTATTTACACATAAATACACATATATATGTTAGTTTTTATAGATCAATAATAAAATTCATATGGTGTGACCTTCGTGTGGTGTAGCCTAGAAATAACCCGATAAACTTTGATCACAATTCATTCACGTGGCAGAAGGTGTGAAGCTAATTTAAAGTAGTTTTTCCTGAGCGACAACTGAATAGAGCCTGACTAACTAACTGGATGATGAGCTGGCAGCTCGTCATTGGAGCTGGCAGCTCATGACGTGTATAAATGATTATGGCTCAGTTGAGTTAGTTAGTCAGTTAGAAAAAACACGTACAATCACATTCAGTAGGAGAAAATTAGACCCGAGAGAAGACATAAAAGAAGAGAAAGCAACGGTCAAGAATAGATAGTTGTTCTTGACTGCTTCTTTGTAATCTCTTCTGGAGATCTTGTACTCTAAATTTTGTGTTCGACTGATCAATAAAGGCACCGCTCTCTATCCGTGGGCGGACATCTATTTTGATCGAACCACGTAAATTTTTCTCGTTCTATTTACAACGATCGAACGCCCCGTGAATCTAGATCTATGTTGCAAAAAAAAAAACATAAAAAAAAATAATAATAATAATAATGGTTTGCCTAATGAAAGTCCACCCAAATGGGCCATGGTCGGCGATATGTCAATTGATGTGTTATCCCGATTGTGGAACAAAATCAAGATGATGTATATTCACTGACATCGACATATAAACCAGCTTACCTCTTTATCCCCAAACACTAGAAATCCCACCTTTTTTTCTAGGTTTTATTTTCTCTATGGGTATACACATCCAATTAGGTCACATTTGTACTACATTATTCGATAAATTGTAAATAAAATTAAATTTTACCATTGTTCTTCTATAAGATGTTACTCTAGTAAAAATGCATGTAAAATCTTTATTTTAATATATTCTCTTTCAACGTACAATTAAACCTCTGTAAATTGATATAACCTGAAATTACAAAATTCAATTAACTCTTGAGCTAATAGTTAATTACGTTTTTGCCGAAACTTTGAAACAAAAAAAAAAAAATTATTTAATTGAAATTATTAATTTATCGATGTTCTACATGAATTGAAACTCGAGCAAAAAGTTGATCAATTCAATTCCAAGTAAATATAGACAGAAAACTAAAGGACGAACAAAAACAAGAAAGGATCATATAGTAGAGTACAAAAGATTGTTATTACAGATTCCCCAAAAACACATTTACACACAACCCAATAAAATTAAAAAAAGACATGAAATTAAATGGCGCTGTCTTTTCCCTGTAAATTCTTATGCCTACCAAAATATACTTATTAATTACCCAGTAAGAAAACATGTCAGATCATTAACATTTAACACTACCAAAAGTGAACTAATTAATTAATATCCATTTTCTTGAAAATCTGGAAATATTGATTTTCTTTTCTTTTTTACTTTTTCCAGATCATTTAACGTCCTTAGCCGCCGGTGTGGAAATAGCAAGATCCGGCCAAGAAAAGTAGTCACCCGTCTCAGCCGCGCCGCCACCTTCACCACCGCCACCACCCATCTGCCACGTGCTACAAACAGGAGTGCTCTCCCCGGAAACCACCGCAGCATCAGTGTCTCCTCCGCCCATCGCCACTTGCTCGAGGGGCGGCCACTCTAGAACATCGGGCCCACAACCCATACCCGACCCGATTCCCAACCCGTACCCGTCGACGAAGGGGAAAAGCCCACCACCCGAACCCATTTGTCCAGCAGTATTACTCCACCAGCAACTTAATACACTCCCGGATTCCGCCACAGCATCCTCGTTCAAGTTCACCCCAACACCATGCTCGTACCCGGAGCCCGGGCCCGAACCCGGGCCCGGGCCCGTATTCGGGACAACCGGGTCGGTGTATCGAGACTGCGCCGTCGCGTCATTTTCGCTGCTGCAAGAAACCACCAAGTTGTTGTTGGAGCTGCTGGTCCTCGGGGTGGCGGTGGCGGCGGTGGGAGTTGCTAAACGGCGGCGTTTGTTGGAGGAGGAGGAGGACTTACGGGTGCCGCCGCCGACGGGGACCTTGCGCAACGCGCCGCCGCGAGTCCAGTAGCGGCGGCAGGACTTGCAGAAGTGGCGGGGCTGGGAGAGGTTGTAGTTGTTGTAGTAGCAGAACTTGGTGTCGGTGGAGTCGCAGCGTGGGCAAGGGGGATGCTCCGCCGTGCCGGAGAAGAGGCGGCCGCCGGATTCTGGTTGTGGAATTGGAGTTGTTGTGGGGTCCATTGGAAGAAGAAGACAAAGGATATGTTGGAAGTTGAAAGAGAGTGAATTTTCTTTGTGGGGGTGAAGAGTTGGTTTAAATAATTGATTTAATTTGTGTGATTCAATGGGCTCTCATCTTAAGTTTATGCAAAACCTCGGACAATTATGATCAAATTTCGTTAATGGTCCCTAATCTTAATATTTAATTTCACATTTAGTCCCTCGTATTTCTATTGTCGGTAAAATTACAATTTTCATCCTTCAAGTTTGCACGATTTCACATTTAGTCCCTCATGTTTATAAACAACACTTTTGGTCCCTCATGTTCTAAAAATTTAACATTTTTTGTCATTTTCGTCAATTTACTATTAGTCCGTTAGTTAAGTCGGTGATGAGCACACACTTGATCCAGTTAGTTTTAACGGAAAAGACTAAAAATGTTGAATTTTTGAAACATAAGGGACCAAATGTGTTTTTTTTAAACATGTGAGACCAAATGTGAAATCGGTGCAAACTTAAGGGATGAATACCATATTTCTCCATCTATTGTCTTATTGTTATCATTCATCCCTATAATTCATCTCATTAACATCCACTCGGTGGATACATTTGTTAACTTTAACGGAATCTTTTTTAGAACGGATGAAATATTTCACTGTTAGAATTATTTTGGTAAAGAGCAAATTACGGCCACCCTCTGAGATATGGCTAAATTACGAAAAACACTCTTGTTTGGGTAATTACAGCCACCCCTCATTTTAAATATTTTTTACATAAAATTTATGTAATTCAGTTATTTACCAAACCAAATCGTATATTTAGTCCAGTAACCGGTATGAAATGTTGGCGTACCGAAATTTCGGTTCGATTTTACTGAATTAACATCCCTCAATTTACCTATACAGGGGTCTTTACGTACGATAATACATAGTTGAGGGAGTGGTTGTAATTACCCAAACAAAATGAGAGTTTTCTTAATTTAACAATAACATAGGGGTGACCATAATTTGCCCTTTGATAAAATATGAATGTTGTAATTTAAAAATTATATTTGCAACTAAGAAAAATATAACTAATAAAATTACCATTTTTTCGAAATATTAATTTATATTAATATAAAATGAATTGTTTATTTTGTGTGGATACATGACTTGAATTTAGAAATGTATGTTAAGAATTATAATATGTCACTACATATGTTCTCTATCAAAAAAAAAATTGTATTTTTTTTATGAATCTTGTGTTAATATTTAAAGAACTAATTCAATTATATATGGTTTTTTCTAGTATTTATAATTTATTTATAGTTTATGATAAATAATTATAAAAATAGAATTTCACATATAATAAGTAAAAGATTTCATTAAAATTAACTAAATTATAAACAAAGATTCCTACCTTCAATCTTCTTACAAAATACTCTCTCCTTCCCTCAATAGTTGTCACTTTTGTTAGTTGCACACATATTAAGAAATTCAATAAATATGCATAGATAGTAGCAAAAAGTATAGTAAATCACTAAAATGCCCATGTCATTAATTAATTTTTAAATAATTATATTTCAATTAATTATGAGTGAGAAATGGCAAAATTGAAAAAATTGCAATTAATTATTCATTGGAATAGTAAAATGACAATAATTTGAAATATAAAAAAATGGCAAAAATAACAAGTATTAAGGGAAGGAGGCAGTATTATTTTTCGTCTCAACCCAAAATTCATGGTTCAGCCTATTTTCCGAAGCTAACAACTCCTGCTGAGAAACTCAAACCACCTATCTTTATAAAAGTATTTTATTTTTATATAAATTAAATAAAATATTAAATAAATAAAATAACCGTTTCAATAATTCACAATTTCCAATATTTTTCAATTTGTTAACAACAGAGGTGTCCCGATCCATCGAACTTTGAATTAAAATGAAATTTTGGAGTATAGTGAAAATTGAAAAATAAATGGGTTATATGTATATTACATGTATACCCCTTTTGGTTTAAAAAATTAGTTTGCAATTTTTGATGTGTAATATTAATCAACATTGAAGAAATTTATATGCTATTGACTTTTTTGAAATTCCTTTTTATCCTTGATCATATATTGAATAATTATATCGACCTCCTTTCAGATTGGGTCGAGTTACATACATATTAACCCACCACTTTGCACAAAGCAAGGGCTCGAGTCGAGTAAGTTAAATCTCAGAGGATGATTCTAGCACAATGATAGCTACCATCGCGGACGGTAAACAGGGGTGGAACCACGTGGGGCCTAGGGGGGCTTCCACCCCTGCAGAAAAAAAAAAAATTCACCTATATTATTTTACTTTTTTAATTGCATTTTGGTATTTATCTATTGATTCATAGACTTTCGGCCCCCAAAATTTAAAAAATTGTAAATTTTTTAGCCCATAAAAATTATTTTTTTCCTTCTCTTAAATTCCGCCCCTGACGGTAAAGAAGACAAGTCGATGTACAGGTCAGTTGTGAATGATATCCAAAAAGTTGAAGGCTCCTTTCAATTATTTTTTGCTCACCGTATCCAAAGAAACGGTAATCAAGATGCACATGAAGTGGCTCGACTTTCATTCAAGCGTTCATGCTTCTTAACACATCTTCCTCTATTAATTAGGAACTTGTAATCTCATAATCTTGTTCTTACGGTTCTAAAGTTGATTATGAATAAAAAAAAATTATTTCCTCTCAAATTATTTCGTTTTTGACCTAAAAAAAAGAAAGTTAATATATAGCGTGGTAAATTGATTAGACACATCGTGGTGACGTTATCTAGGAATAATAATAAAACAGAAGAAATTAAACGGAAGAATGAAATGAATGGTACGTACAAGCCTACAATGCGTGGAATAACGTGCTGCTGTTGCTGCAGATGACGCAGCACGCATACACAGGGTGTAGAAGCGGGACTGTGACTGGTGGTGCAGGTCGCCGGTTGCATATCTACCGTACAAGATGACACGTGTCTGATTCTTATGGCTTTCTTCAGGCACGGGCATTTGTTGGTGTAATTTTATTTAGGCTAAATTACACTTTACCCCCTTTATTTTGGCTCGATATCATTTTACTCCCTTTTACAGTTCTACTTTCGATTGCATCGAGTTGGCCTCCTGTACTTGAAAAATTGTCTTAATGTGGCCCTCGCCGTTAATTATCAGACCTGTGATCTTAAAATCGTTTGATCTAATTCTGAAATTTACAAAAAAAATCACCCCTCCCAATTTAAATAGTTATTAAAAAAAATAATAATAAAAAATAAATTGTGACTGACATCGTGGATTATATTTCTCGTTGTTTTGAATTTTTTATTATTTTATATTTTGTTTTTTTAATAATTAGCATTTTTACCCAGTGATGGATCAGAATATTATTTCAAAAGTTAAAATTAGAGACTTGGTCAAGAAAACAAAAGGCTGAAAAAAATAATAATATAAAGATGTCATTAACGAAGAAAGTGGAAGAACAAACAACATATGTTACCAGAAAAAAAAAAAAAAAAACAGAAACTTATAGAGGAAATAAAATTATTCAAAAAACTAGAAAATTAGTAGAGAAGAACATAAAAAATTAAATAAAACAAAAAAATTAAAAAGACGTCAAAAAAATTGCAAAATATGAGATAATGCCCGAAAAATTGTAGCTCAGTCTGCTAGGGGATAGAATTTGTTTATTAATTTAGTAGTAGATTATGATTGAATAACAATGGGTTAAATTTGTTATGGAAAAATAGGCTAGAAATTAAGACCAGAAAAATTGGAGATAACAAAAGATATTTATTACAAAAGTTACTGAATAATTACAATAATATTATTATGGTTTCTTAGGTTGTTCTGCCATTTATTACTTTTATATATAAGATTATAATAATAGTATTAGGATTTATTAGGTTGCCCTAGTGTTTATTACTTTTATATATAAGATTATTTAAACTGAAAGATGTGGCATTTTTGTTATTTCAGAGCTTAGATCAAACGGTGTTAAGGTCAAATGTTTGACAACTAACAACGATGGCTACATATAGACAAATTTTCAAGTAAATGGGGCGAATCGATGCAATCGAGAGTAGAAGGGGGTAAAGCGATACCGAACTAAAGGACAAGGGGAAAGTAAAATTTACGCTTTTGTTTATTTATTTATTTTAATTGTTTTTTTTTAGGCTTCTTCTTCATGTTTCAACACCAACAATTTTTACACGCTTCTTAACTCTAACCTCGATACTTTTCGGCAAGCTCAAACATAGTACCATGTAGCACAACAACAACATTTAGAGTCGCATTGGACTCCCCCACTCGAGGGTTCAATCAAAATAAATTTTGACGCGGCCATTCCTAATTGGGAAAATTATTATTCGGTCTCTATGGTTGCCCGGCATTGGAGAGGAAACTGTTGTTGGTGGGCTGTTCGTAAATTTCCAGGACATCCCAAGGCGATCGAATATGAGGCACACGCGGCGCTTGATGCGATCTCGACGGCTAGATTAAAAGGATGGTATTAGAGTATAGTATATTATAATAACTCTTGTACTATTAGCATTCTATTATGATTCAATTACCTAGATTAGTTAGGATTTAGTTACCTAGTCAAACTCTATTACCTTGCAATATTTCTCTATATATATATTCCAGGTAATCAACCCATAATATAATGGGGGTTTCTATCACGTATTATTATTATTTCTCTCCTTCTCCAATTATATTCTTCCTATATGGTATCAGAGCACCAGAGTTTTTAACCTAGCCGCATTTCTTCTCCATGGCGGTGACCACCCAATTTTCTCCCCCCCCCCCCCCCCAAGTGGTGGTACTCTTAATATCTTTTATCTTTTTTTTTTTTTTCTTTTTTTCTGTCTTTTCCATGAACACCACCCAATTTTCTCCCTCCCGATAGTGAATCTTCTCTATCTTTTCCGCTCTTCTTCTTCTCCATGGCCTATGGCCTAAAACCTAGCCGCCACCTCTCTTCTTCTCCATGGCCGACGGCCACCAACCCAATTTCTTCCCTCCCCCGGTGGTGGAGCGTGGTAGCAAGTGATTGTCCAGTCTTCACGTTCCTCACGTTTCGACTGCGGGAGCGTATTAGAGTATAGTATATTATAATGACTCTTGTACTATTAGGATTCTATTATGATTCAATTACCTAGATTAGTTAGGATTTAGTTACCTAGTCAAGCTCTATTACCTTGCAATATTTCTCTA